CAAGATTTTCTGCTATTTATACTACTTATTGCAAATAGTGGCAATTATCTGCACCTCAGTATTGTAGTGCATTATAAAACAGTATACAATAATAACGTATTAAGTGTAAATTATCATTTGAATTCAAATTATTAAATGGATGCCACCTTATTGCGACAACAAAGCCCTCCCTACACCTACCTTAACCCTGCACGATACTTTATGTTCAACTTTTCGATTATTTCCTTAATTTTTATTGAAAATAAATGCCTTTCCGATGTGATATGAGATTTGAAAAGTGAGAAGAAAAAAAAGTTTAGCAAAAGGCGGATTCGTCGGTCGCATCGAAAATGACTATGGCAAGAGCTTTACCATGGCGTAGCACTGGAGTTGTTGTTGGACGATCATCTTTTGTAGTGTTGACTAGCCCAATCACACGTTAGTGGGCGGAGTTGGTGTAAATAGCTTCTGCCAACAAGGCGGGCTATTTGCACTTAGTGTTATGAAACCCATATGTTGGGTTTTAGTTCATATTTTTATGTTATATTTTTTAATTTAAACACTGTGTTAACTGAAAATTTTTTTTTCTACTTTTGGTATTATTTTATATAGATATGACTGCAGCATAATTTAGAAGTTAATTTTATCTAGTACCATAAAGTCCCCTCAAAACACAAAATACTAAAGAATAAATATATTGCAACAAAACTTAGTACATGAATTTCTGTAGTACATGAATTTATTGGCTTTGGTCTGATTTTAGTGAAGAGGATCACAGGTGTGATCTCTAAGTGATGAAAACCTGATATTAAAAACTCTATGGAATCATATTAGAGTTTCGTGGATTTTTAGTCCACATCTTTCAGTTATGAGAGCATCTATATGCAAATGTACTCCTAAAAGTCGACAAAATGTACTTTTAGCAGACTGACAATTAACCTAACATGGCATTCAAAAGCAATTTTACTTCTATAAAGTGATTTATTTCCAAGTTTATTTAGGAGAATAATGCAGAAGAATGGAGCAGATTGTGGAGAAACCCTTCCTAAAATCTCATTAGTTGAATCTCAAGGGCATATTTCAATGGTCTTGACTTTATAAAATATGCAGGGGCAATTTAGATTGCAACTTAACTCAGCATTCTTTCTCCTCAATCAAAATTGGCCGAAAACTGATGGCATATACTATGCTTTGTCCCATAAAATGCCATTTAAAAATTAGAAAATTGCTTTTGACAACCTATTCCATGCATCACCAACAAACTTGTGTTACTGTAAATTGTTCTGTAAAAGTGATCTTGTTTGAAGATTAATCTTACCAAGAAAGGTGCCCAGGAAGAAGACACCCAGAGGCACATTAATGACGGGTGAGGTGATGTTAATGAACCAGTTTGGAAGGAAAGGAGTTATTCTCAAAAAAATGATGTAATTAATGAGGTGCTCTCTGTGCTTGTCCACCTGCAAGGACATTAAACGACATCAGCTCAACATTATGGCCAGTCAATTTACATAAAAAATGAAAGCTATTTGTATGAAAATCTCACCTGTTGTGACCATTTCTGAGCTCTCTCTGTGAGGTACTTGTACACCATCGGCCTCCCGACTAAATAAGACAGCATATAGCAAAAAGACGCTCCAAGGCCTGAACACTGTAAACCATAAAACACAACAACATATTTACACAACAAAAAGTCATACTAGAAGACAAAGTTTGGCAGACAGACTAATCTGAAATGAATTTGCCTACAAACAAGGAACTTACCAGACAGACCAGGAAGAGAGCTAATGGAAAAGGGTAGAGATAACCAGACAGTATACTGAGAAATATGGAGCCTGGGATGGCAAACGTCTGAAGGCTGAGAGGGCCTTAGTTAAGGCTTTACCTCAATAGTGAAAAAAACTTTGTTATGTATCTGACACAAACATAAATAACAGAAACTCCAAGCAATTTTTCTGCCAGCGGGGGTCTAATTTAAAATGTAAAAACAAAAAAAACTTGTTTTCATCTGCATTAAATTCAATGTAGTGTCTAATAACATTGACAATCAGTCCAGATTAATCATGGCATAAAGGATACAAGATATATGTAGCAAAGTACGCTAAAAGCACTTGGGTGTAATATGTGTCCTTGTATTTGGACAGTACTGTGCCCAATGCCTTGGCATCATCCATGTCTTTAGGAATTTTGATTCTTTCTCTCTCGTCTCTGCAAGACATGAAGAAATACATCAAACATTTGTTGAGTCACCGTGAAACACCCTTTATGTTCAGTACACAAAACTACACTCAGAGGGGGACTTACTCGCTCAGTTCTGGGAAATTTCTGAACACCAGATACATGACACAAGCAGAACAGGCAAAGATCGTGATGAGGAGGAGGATAGACATGCGTGCAGAGGCTCCTCCTGGTGACTGGGCTCCTGAGAGAATAATTCAAAAACACATCATGAATAACCTCTAATATCACCTGTGCAACGTGTTGCATACATGTGCATCAGTTGTTCACAATCCTCAGGGGGATTCAGGCCCGTGAGAGCTCTTGTATGTGGTGAGCTGGAGAACTACAAAGCCAAAAATCACATATAACAGTGTGACATCATCTTAAAGGAGCAGTGTGTAAATTCTACCACATTATTGACACCAAACTGATTTACAAAAATAACTAGATGTTTATATTTAAACTCAGGAAAAGTACTCTGAGTGGCTCTTTACTGTGCCAAGTGGTTTACAGGCTTAAGCACAAGTCATTGGCATTGTGGTCTTTATTTAGTGCATTTAGATTAGGGCTGCACGATAAATCGCATGCGATATTTAACGTGCATCTTGTCAGAAAGCCGGTTCTGTAATCAGCGGTAAATCTCCATCACCTGCGGGCTTTCACATTGAGCAGCATTAACTACACAGAGCCGTTGTTCACTGACGAGCTGCGCAAAAAATCGCGCGAATATGAACGTGGTTTTGCGCAGCTCGTCAGTGAACAACGGCTCTGTGTAGTTAATAAACATTAATAAAATTAATTTAACATAAATTATCATTAGGCTGAAGATGTTCCCCCCCCCCCGCATTAAAGGTAGGGTATGTAATTTTTCAAAAACACTTTAGAAAACTGATTCGGGCCGAATAGCAAAATAAACTTGTAGCCAATCAGCAATAAGGGGCGTGTCTACTCGTGATGTGGAGTAGAGCGCGTTCAGTGCATGGAACGGACATTAGCACAGAAAGATAGAGATGGCGGATAAAAAACAAAAGAGGAAAACGTCTGCGGAACGATAAGGCAAGAAGTAGGACCCGTGTAAATATCGGATCAGCTTTCCAGCGCTGGAGAGAACTCAAGGAGCGGAGGCCTGCGATCGGACGCCGAGGTTGGTTTGTTTCTTCTCAATAGGTGAGTAACAACGTGTGTCTACAACAGCTAAAGTCTGCCTGCACTGGACGCGATCAAACGACCGTTGAAAACCATTTGAAATTTGTGTCAGCACGTCATAAATAGAACCCGGCAGCAGTTTTCTGTCGGGATTTGTTGCGCCGCGCCGCTCACGTCCGTAGACACGGTGTAACATTGGTTTTGCTTTGTTTCACAGAACTAATCGTTGCCTGGGTTGCTACGTATATGTGGGGCGGAGCTATCAAAATAGGGGCAAGACCCTTTTGGGGTAGTGTTTGTTTTGGTGATTTCAAATATCAATATTGGCTACCAGAAATCGCTTACCCTGCCTTTAAATCCAAATCTTTTTCATATGGGCATTTACAAAAACTGTCATACAAATCTAGTAGGTTTAATTTGTGGATATTTCTGCTATTCAGTATTAAAAGATATTCGGTTCACTCAGAATCATGATGAATCAGAAAGAGACCATTCAGACCAATTTCAGTCCAATTTCTAAATGAAAAAGATCACATTTAGAATGACGTCACAGGTCAGAATGTTGAAATGTTTTGACCAGTTTAATATCTTCGGGGACAAAGCATGAAACATTCAAAACACATTTTGTATCAATAGCAAAATTAATAAAGTATGCTACAAAATACTACGCTCCATTTAAGCATGTTTTGGAAAGATTTAAGTTGAACATACACCTATGAATTTTGTGTACTGGAAAAAGAAACATTTTTGCATTTGTTTTATCATTGTATTTGGATTTAGAAAAATATGATAGGATAGGAATTTGTGTATTTATTATTTTAAGAATGTCATTTTGAAATGTAAAGAACAATACAATATTATATATAGCAGATAAGTAGTTTTTACATTTTATAGCAATGTTTATTTTACATTTTGTTAATTTAATTTGAGTTATTTTAATACTTCAACAAACTAAATGGAAATGAAATAATATATTGAATTTATAAATGTGGTTGTACATACACATATATGTAGTTGTTTTTTTTTGGTGTTTGGCTTAGTGTTATGTTAGAATCATTATTATACTCATACCTTTTGTTCTATATTTTGTATTTCTATATTTTAATATTTTGAATTGTTTTTAGCTTCTTTTTTTTCATTTAAATGTTAAGTTTTGAAATTTTGTTGTATGCATTTGTCATTTTTATTTAATTTCTTTATTTTTAAAATGTGTATAAGTAGTATTTATAAAGTTTTAGCTTTTAGTTTTGGATCTGTTTTTAGTTGTTTTAATACTACAATTGATTGCTTCTGTTGTCCTCATTTGTAAGTCGCTTTGGATAAAAGCGTCTGCTAAATGACTAAATAAATAAATACAATTTTGTATATTTAAAATGACTTAAAATTACACATACACTTTTTGGATCAAACTAAAAAAAACGTATATTTCAAAAGCACTAACATTTCTGAAACTTTTCCCTCTAGCATCTAATGTTATTAATAATGTGACTATGTAATAGCTCTTGTTCATGTGGCATTGAATAAAAAGGTTGAACTCTGAAAGTATGAGTAATGCGAACCAAAGGAAACAGATATCATTACTGCATTACACAATCCTTCAGTCCATTTGATTAGCCAAATAAAGTCACATTAAGGGCCATTTCAGATGAAGGTTTGCTGTAGATTGTGTAAGCCACATTCAGAACCTACTAATATTCGACAAAACCTTTGATCGTTCAGCTGAAGAGTTCATCAATATTACATTAGTCCTGGATAGTCAACCTCCATCTGTCAGACTTTCTGGTCTTCGCAAAAAATATTTCTCAGTAAATATCTATTATTCCGACTCCGAGTCATCGTGGAAAGCTACATAATACCTGTGTGAGACTGATATCAGGACACACTGTCAGAATTACCTTTGAGGACTGGAGTTTGTTTGGAGGGCCTCGGCTCCTGCTCTACCAGCGGACTGCTCTCGGTCTCACGGTTTCCGCTTCTCTTCTTGGCCATGATCATCGGTTTCAACAAAAGAAAATAATGAAGGTAGATCTCAGATGCTAACCGAGATCATATGTCAATGTAAAAGCTAAACGCAAGGCTTCAGCCGGCTTTCTCCTCCTACTTCTTCTCCTCGGGATACCGGTGACCTGTGACTGTTTTCTTCTTCCTCGGTGCTGTTCAGCTCAGATGACAACGCATTTGTCAGGCCGCTACTGCCATCTAGTGAAGATAGCGAGACATTAAATTGTAAATGGACAACAAAAAGTACAATGATTTTTCTGAAGCACCTTGAAGGACCACGTAAATACCACTGTACATAGATAACCTTTAAAAAATGCTTTACTGCGTCAACAGTGTTGGGGAAACGCATTACAAGTAACTTGATTTACGTAATCCGATACTTTTCCAAGTAACTAATGAAGTAATTTTTTATACTACACTGAACAAAATTATAAACGCAACACTTTTGTTTTTGCCCCCATTTTTCATGAGCTGAACTCAAAGATCTATACATAGAAAAAGTCTTAGGTCTTTGAGTTCAGCTCATGACAAATGGGGGCAAAAACAAAAGTGTTGCGTTTATAATTTTGTTCAGTATAAAAACATACAACTAAGCCCAGCCCAGATGAGAAAAAGTAATGTGAAAGTAAAGTACTGCATTATTTTCCATAAAAAGTAACTATTGCAATTAGTTACTTTTTCAATATTGTAATGCATTATCTAAGTTTTGGTAATCGTTCAGTACCATGGCATATATCAAAGCATCAAATTATAAAAAATTAATATAATATAATATAATATAATATAATATAGGCTAATGAATTTTCTCCAAAAAAATAAAAAAATAATAGTTTAATTTTGTAAAATATATGGTTGCAAACGCAAACTATTGTACAAAATGAACTTTTGACCCAATGTATTATTTTAATGTTTATTTTAGTGATGATAACTTACAATAATCGTATCACCCAAAAAGTAGCCATACTCTTTACAATGAGTGTAAAAAATTGTAGGAATAAATAGAAATAAATAGCATTTTGTTTACACTTAATGTTCAAAATAGTGATATAAAGTGTATCTAATTTGTACTTGCTATTTGTACTAAAATAAATATTTCTGAGCAATTTGGTACTAAATAAATTATCTGAGTAATGGTGGGTGGAGTTAGTGAAAATAGCTTTATTTTCAAATAGCCTGAGTAAATAGACACTGCCAAAAGTAAATGCCCCCATAAACCTGTTATCTGATTGGACAACACTTAGCATTAACTAAAACTACAGATATGGGCCTTGGTTATCTCTGTTGAGGAATCTTGGCATACTTGCATTGCTCTTTTAAGGTCCTGCCCAGAATTTAAGTGAGGACTGTGATCAGGAATCTAAAGCTTTAGTTTATTTTGAGCTAATCATATGTTGAGCTGATATTTATTATCAGCCATTGTCCTGCTGCATTACCCAGTTACATGTTTGAACGTTCCAAGTGTCAAATGATGAGCTGACTCATCTGTCCATAAAATATTATCCCAAATAATCATCCAGATCAGATGATGAGACGAACTATTCTTTGAGGTTTGCAGTGGTTTTTGTCTTGCATATAGGGAAATCCACATCACAGCTATTACAATAACAACACAGAGGAATGATATCATTGGCGTCACTTTTACAAAGTTGTTTTTAGCTAATGAACGATAAAAATGCTGACAGCCAATCAGAATCCACCCAACCTCAAAGCACTTGAGTATTTTAGGCAGCAGATGACAGAACTGCAGCGCATGCTTGGAATAAACAGAATGTTTTTAAGCCGTTGATGTGGATGCTAATGCAGTAATCATAGTAGTTATCTTAATACTTATCGTTCTTGGCAGGAACAGGCCTTAAGCCAGGGGTTTCCAAACTTTGTCATGCCACGTCCCACTTAGAAAAAGGGTTGGTATAATGACTTCTTGGAAAATTTATCAAATTTACAACAATTTTACATGATTCAGTTCATAACATGAGTCAGACTGGTACACTGGAATGTAGTGTACCAGTAGTACACTAATAGTAGTGTTTTTAAATTAATTAAAATGTGGAATGTACATGAGAATGTTAACTGTGAAAGGATGATTGACAAATCAGTTTTAACAGTAAAGAAAAATTCCCTAAAAACAAGTTCACGACTAAAATATGGAATGTGTATAAGATGTTATCTGTGACAGGATGATTGACAAGTCAGTCATTCCCCAAAAACGAGTTGACAGCTAACTTCGAGACAAGCCTTGGAGGTTTCCTTGTCTGAGTTTGTAGAGGGGGTTAAGAAGCATCCATAATTATCTGAGCTACTTTACATTAGGTAAATTATCTGATAAATGGTGGGTGGAGTTAGTGAAAATAGACTTTATTTGCCTATTTAAATAGACACACTCAAAAGTAAATGCCCCCATAAACCAATATGCGCTGTGGGTTTTGCATTGCTACTCTTCCATGAAGTCCATTTGACTCGTTCTTATTGTCATGAACACTGACTAAAGGGCCGATCACACCAAGGACGATAACTATAACTAAAGATTTAATAAGCTTTATATGAGAATATGGAAGTACACACCACAACTATAACAATAACTACTCAGATGAACAATATCATTGTAATCACTTGCCTATTTTATCTTCAGATGATGAATGATAAAAACATTCACTGTTCAGAAACCTACATTATCATCAGTTGGTGTGGAAACTAAAGGAGTTATTGTTACACTTGGTACTCATCGCTCTTGCAGTGAACAGGCTTTGAGTCAGAGGTTTCACCAAAAAGGATTAGCATAAATTGACTTTTTTGGAAAATGTATCAAATTTACAACATTTTTACATGACTCATTTCATAACATTGATTGGATGTAACATTGGATTGTACTTATTGGGTTCATCTGCCAAAGTGATTTTTTTTGCGGGTAGTGCTGTATCTTTTGGGAAATCTTGGGCTTCTTGGAAGCTGCATAAACTTAACATCTCAGGACCAACCTGCTCAAAGCTTTAGCAACTTAGCTTCTGTAGAATAGGGGGCATGACAGGTGCCTACCTAGCATGGGATTTTTGGAGTTTGAAATGTTTTTTTTGGCATGCCAATTATGCGACTCCGGAGCTGTGCCCGCAGCACCCTACACATGGACATCTTGGAAATGAGAGTGCTTTTTTGGACTTTCAAAAAAAAAAAAATGGCTACAGAGAAAAAAATGGGCACCATACAATAAATGACTGTCATACGCTAAAATACTTTTAAGTCTTTCTGAACACACACACACACAAAATACTTGTGCCTCATTACACACGACAAATGAAAACAGTAGGCCTATGTGTAAAATTTGCTCAAAATATCAAACCATTTAATCCTCCACCTGACGGAATTATAGTATGAAACTAAAAAATCCAAGTGTGTGACCATAGTACACAATGCGAACCATATCCCAACACACAGCAAAGAAATTCATACACAAAGCAAAGAAAAATTCCCCCAAAATGAGTTCACAGCTTACCTTTGAACCATACAGGTACAGAACCGAAAAGAAACATGATGTTCTAGAAACACAGTAACTTTACAAAATTCTCTGTCACATAAACTCACAGCCAATAGCACAAGGGGAAGTAACTTTAGAGGAGGAAAAGCACATGACAGACTTTTAGCCACAAAGGCTCAGTTGAAGTGTACAAAATGCATGCCTCATAAATTAGCATTTCACAGTTCCAAGAATAATTTCTGGTTCCAAAAAGTCAATAATGGGCCACAGGCTAAAATGCAAAACCACCAAGTTTTATGGTCTGGATTTTTCTTATAGTAAGTTCTACAAACATAGAGGGGTTCGAGAAGCATTCATTAAATGATAAATATAATAGCAGTCCACTGAAAAATCAGATGACTATAAAAATGTAAGATGTAGGCTATTAAGAAAAACAATGTATTTTTTCTATTGGAGTGAAAAGTCACATCAAAAATATGTAAATAACCTACAAGTAATGCCCACCAACAAACATGCTCATTAAATTTAAGAACTTTTTCTGTCATAATGCACCACTAATTTAACACTTTTGACCAAAGCTAATGCTAAAGATGCTATATGTTTTGTGGGATATTTGTATACGTTTTTTCTCTCTGAGTTCAATACATTAACACATTTATGATAGAGATAAGAAACACAATGCATAAAATAAATTGTTATTGTGTACACACAACCTCAGTCACCATGGTAACATTTGTTTTTGTATCGCATGAGGTATTTTGGACCTCTAGTGACGCTAACGCAGCGTAGACGACAAAAAAAACTACAACTCCCTACACGTCCTACCGGGGAACGGAAACTCGCTGTGGAGAAATTGGCGCTGATCTTTCCGGCCCATTTCCACTGCTCTTCCTTTCGCGCCGGTAGCCGACGAACCGAGCGTCCATGTGCGCAGCGCCCTGGAGTTCATAGATCACCGAGCCTTCCGAATCCGAGCCAGACCGCCACCTTGTGATGGATCTCAACTCTTTGATCGAGGCCCTTCGGGGCACCATGGACGCAAATTTGCGTGAGGCCGCAGAGAGACAACTGAACGAGGTAAAGTGATCGGATGATGATGATGATGATGATGATGGTGGTGCGCCTCGGGCCTTGCGCAGCAGGATGGCTGTAGCCCTTAATAAATTCCGTTAAAAATGTGTTTTTGAAAATTTTTGTTGACGTATAGCCTTTCAGTAACACACAATATGAGTTGGTAAGTTAATCTATCAAAGGCCAAAGATCATATATTTTTAACGTTCTTGTAGCACGCGTTAGCAGTTCGTGTCCGCGTACTACGTCACCGCGATAATGGCTCGCGCAAATGTGATCGCGTTAAACGGACGATACGGCGCTTAAATATTACGTGACTTTGAAAAGGTGAAAAGAATACACGAGGTTGTATACGTCTCTATGTTTTAAGGTCAAATTCTGATGTGTCTGAGTGTGTTAAAGCGGTTTATTTGGAGTGCGCGAATGTGCTAGCGGGGGTGATGCTAGGCGCTAAGTTAGTCTCTCACGTGTCAACATGAGGCAGGAGGCTTGTTGTCATTTCGCTCTCGTCGTAAACGCTTTCACCAGCTTAACTTTCAGAATATCTGATGATCATATTTAAACAACACAACGACCGATTTCGATGCTCATTGATGTGTTAAATCGCTATTTTAATAGTGTTTTAGGCCCGTTA